ATGGCCATGTGCAATCCCTTCTCCATTCTCCCGTTGGCATTTTGGCCACATGCCTATACACACCTAGTGTCAGTTTTAAGCCACCAGGACTTGAACTGCCGTTGGTCATGTGAGGGTCTAGGTGTCTGATTTTCTTTCTTTCTTTTTTTTTTTTTTTTTAAATTTATTTCTTCCATGAAACAGAGACAGAAACAGACAGCACCCCAACAAAGTCTTCATGCCATAATCTTACCCCAGCCTCAGCCAGCCAGGATCATGGGCACACATGCCCACATGCTCAAGGAGGTCCCAGGATATAAACCCAGGGCCCTTCCCACGTGGGTGCCCTTGCTTTGCCACTGTGCCACCTCACGGCCTGTTTATTTGTTTTTTTAGATTTGCTAGAGGGTGCATGCACTCCGGGAGAGAAGGAGAGAGTAAGAAAGCATTTTCCATGAGGGATGGATGTGGACACTGCAATTCCTTCTCCATTTCTCCCTCCTTTGGGGATTTTGAGTACGCAGGCACGCTCGTGGCATAGTTTTCAAGGGGCTAGATGCAGGACTCTTGTCGAGCTGCCTTAACCACTCCTGCGTCAACTACATAAGCAGATAGTCTTGAAGCACCTTTAAGTTTCAGAGAGGGCAGATGGTGGACTATACAAAGAGGTGGAGCACACCCAGAAAACCTTGGGTGAATAGACCAGCTTCTCAGTTTAATTCAAGGAATCTGAGGCCTAAGGAAGGAAGTTACCTCTGTCCATCCAGGTAGGAGACCAGCTCAGTCTAAAATACTGAGCCTTTTCCCTAGTACCTCCCAGCTTGCTTCTGGAACTCCTCCTCCTTCCCTAGATCATAAAACTAAACTATTAACTGGTGTCCCTTTCTGTTAATGAATACCTAATGTGTACCATAAACAAAAGTCCTCTGCCCTCGTCACTGTTGTGCAGTAGGTCTCTAGTCTTATTTTTCATTTCTTTTCTCTCCATTTCTAATTTATTTATTTGGCAAGTAATTTTTGATCCTTTGGGTATAATGAGTTTGTGCAGATCAATGTGACCCTTCTGGCCCAACTGCAGTGACCTGTAGACAGTGGAGTAAGACACTGGAGCCATAGGGGAAGGCCCAGGGTTTGGGTTCCCCATCAGCATGCTAGAAGGGCCTGCCATCCTGGCAGGATGGCAAGGAACATGGATTGGCAAGACCTTGCTGGGCATCTCTGTCTC